CTTAGTTGCCAATTTTTCTAAAACTCCAATAACAGTGTCTACTATCATATTTGTTAAAATGGCATTACAGTTGTGGTGATGGTGGAAAATGTGGAATGTCAGGGAAGATTTTCTGTGATGTCACAGAATTGGACTGGCATTATTACTGCTCCCACAATTCCAAGCAGCAATAGTGAATGCCCATCTCTGCTTAAAAAAAACAAAACCCTGTTGGTGACAGATATGTTAATTAATCTGATAGCCAAATCCTCTCACATCCCCAATAAGACAGCATTGCCCTTCTCATTAATTGAATGCTGTTAGCACTGTCACAAAAGGAATATTATTTTGTTTCTATAGTGGAACCGAAGAGTTTTCTGACTGAAGCAGAACTATAGTGTGGTTAATCTGGCAGTGTGGAATAATTATGTAGCTGTTCATGTGAATTAATCTTAATCAAAAGGATTATTTGCAAAGAAAAGCTTTCTCCTCAAAATAATTATAGTTTATTTTTTTTTTGCATAATGTTTGAATTTCCACATCTAAATTTAAAAACATTAGAAAGAGGCTACAAAATTCAATTGAAATGAATAGGTGGGGATAGTGTACAGGGTTTTTGCAACAACATCAATTCCAGGTTTTTTTTTCCTTCTTCTTTCAATGAAATAAAATCTTGTGGATCTTTCTTCCTATTGGTGAATTTAGCCATGTATCATTTAGTTGTATTCTCTTCCTCAGAATCTAAAAGATAAACACAAATAAAGAAACAAAAAGATTACTAACAATAATTGTATACATCCATACAGAAAAAAAAAATTAAGCTTTACCCAAGCTATGACAAGCACATCCATTTGTGCCATGCTGAAAAATTCATAAATGTCATTATTTTTCATCCAAAAAGTCTTTGGCTGATTCAAGCAAAGCAGAATGCCCTACAAAGCATGAGATCATTAGGCATAAGCATCGTTTTGCACTTTGAATTTTATTTTCTCCGGATATGAATATGGATGTAGGACTTGCAATCCCAAATAAATTGGTGAAGAAAATGGCCGCACATGACAAGATGTCGCAAGCAAATCACAGTTTGATTTCATTTTTGAAAAGAAAGCAAGGCAATAAAAAGAAATCAAATATTACTTGCACCAATCCCAGATTCAGCCATGGAGTTCTCGGTATGAAGCAAAATGTCTGAATGACTTAAACATGACCTTATATGAACACTCTGTGAAGCAATAGACAGAACAATTTATTTCTTTTCAAATAGGCCAGTCCTAGATTGGACAGGTGTGTGTGTGTGTGTGTGTGTGTAATACGAAAAGGGAACCTTGGTTCTTGAGCTTAGTTGCCCAAGTGTGTGTTCTCTTTTACACAAGGCAATTTTTTATCTGGAGACCAACCACAACATGGTCAATTCATGGGTCACCATCTTTCTTACTATTAGGCAGAACAGTTCTAAGACACATACTGTATATCCAAAAACATTGCTGCCTGAAGAGACATCTTGTTTTATATTTGTTTCTTTAAAAAGTTATTTAAATCAACATTCTTGGTTGGGCATGTAGGAAAAGCATAGCATTTTTCAGATTCTTCAGCTCCACAGCACCTCCTAACAGGCCTTCTGCTTACTCCAAGTAGCCTCCATTTCTTAGGATTTCTAGTCCTTGGAAAGAGCAGGTGGCACAGGCTTGTGGGAAACCATAGACGGGGAAACCTACAATTTTTCCATCCTCCAAGGATAAGCACCAAAGTGGGGTGAGAACCATACAGATACTACATTAAGCATGAATTAACAGATAAAATTGATGGGTATGTAAAACTAAGTGAGAAGAGAAGTAAGGATACGATAATTGAATGTGGCAATTTGCTCTTGAAAAGTGGAGTTCATATATCATGCAGGAAAATGAAAATTTAGGTTTAATTATGAATGGAAGGATAAAATATATGTCAGAAAGTATGAAATAGTGTTATCTGGATTGTTTTGGGTATATACATAGGAATGTAAGAAATATTGGTGGGCAATATTACATATTAGGTTCCAGTGGATGATGATTATGGAAGAACTATGGTTTTGTGGAAACGCTGCACAACAGTCTGAATGAATGTGACAAAACAAAAATTCTGCTAGGTAACAATAAGGGGTAAATAAAATGACAAACTGTGGGTGGGGGGTGTAATTTGAAGATCCAAAACTGTTCACGGAGTATCTGCTTAGAAAAACAAATGTTTCGATACATATGGATTAATCTCTTCACAGATACACATAGCAGATGAGAGGTTGTGACAGATTTGAGACTATCAAAAGTGGATCTTAAAGAAAAATGGACAAGGAAGAAAAAGAATGAAGTGAAAGAGATCAAGATGAAAATAAAATGACTGCAGGAAGAAGTACAAATGCTATATAGAATAAATGTAGAGAAAGTAAATGTAGAGAAAGATGTGGAAACCTCTCTGAATAGAGTTAAAGGAGTTATGTTACAGAGTGCCACAGGGGTGTCTGTTGTTACCCCAATAGGAAATATGAAAATATGAAAAAGTATGTTTGGTAGAATGATGAAGTAAAAGAGGCTGTGGGAAAAAAAATTGCATATAAGAGGAAGTTTTCTGCAAAAATGGGAATATTCCATAGTGTATAAAGGGAGAAAAAATAGTTTTATAGAGTGAATTTGATGGAAACATTTATTTCAGAAAGTGAATGAAAAGGATTTAAGTAAGAAGAATGGGTGGAATTTAAAAATAAAAGCGAGAAAATATTTTGGGATTAAAAGAGAAGAGTTCATACAAAAACTATACAACTTAAGTTTTGAAGATAAATGATGAAAAGGAAGTCATTAATACTATGAGAATTCAAAAATGGTAAAGCTATAAATGTATATGGTCTAAAAATAGAATGGAAACATGAATTTTTTTTATTAGGAATAATGTCTGCGAAATACAAAAAAGAAATCCAGTATTTAATACTACATATAATTACATCGGCAAGGATTGCCTTTGCCCAGAAATGGAAAAACAAATTAACTCCAAGCAAAGCTGAAATAATAAGAAAGGTTATGGATTGTGTTAAAATGGACAAACTAACTAAAGAAATCCAGGAAAAAGAAGAATCAGAATTCTACCAGATATGGGATAAAAGGTGGATGGAGGAAAGAAACAAGAATCAATGAAGGAATATAGCAAAACTCAAAAATAATAGTTATGAGTAAAATAAGAGGGTTAAGAATGGTGAAATCCAAATGAAATACAATAGAAGGGGAAATAATATAAGGTGAGCGGTATCAATTGATAATTGCTATTAGAAAGAACAGGAAGCTCCTGTTCGTATTGTATTGTGTAAATGTGGTGTACGTCTAAGTTTTGTGTGTGTGTATTTTACATGTTTGTTAATAATTTAAAAAAAAAAAGATATATATGGGCGAATGGGAACAGAGTTAAAATATGGATATATTTGTTTGTGAGTGGCTGTGCAGTTTATTTAATATGTGGAACAGTTGTGGGTTGCACATTTTGTTATACCGATTCAGGTGTGCTCTCACGCATGCTTGCACACATGATGTTTCTGCGCATGTGTAGAAACATCTGGGTGGGTGGGCGGAGCCTCCCGCTACCACTTTGCCCGATCTAGGCCAAACCGGCAGCAACCCACCTCTGATGTGGGAAGAAGATTGCCTTTGTCTCTGATAATAGGAAGAATTATGTTACTCTTTTCCTAAATTAAGGCTCCAGTGGGTTACAATAGTCAAGTATGACTGGGAAGGTCTTTACAGAATTCTGATAAAACAATTAGAAGATTCAATCATTAACAAAATTATAGGAATTTGGAAAATAGCCTTTTTTGTACTTCAGCAGGACATCGAGAATTGTACAAATGTAAGAAACTTTACTATGAATTTGTTTTAAAGAAAGCATATTATAAATTGAATTATGGAGAAGGGTATTTTTTTAAATGAATATGGAGTGGAAAGTTGTTACTGACTGTGTTAAGAAGGAGGTAAATTATGTATGCTTTTGGTATTAATGATGTATTTTACCACACACACACACAGAGAGCTGTATGCAGATTATGCCACATTGCTGGCTCAGAACTTGATTTGCAGTGACTGATGGATGGATTTGTATGACACACTGAAGAGTATTTGAAAATGTATGCATCAAAGTGAATAGTGAACAAGTGCTCCCTCCCTCTCTCTCTCGCTCTCTCTCTCTCTCTGTACAAGAAAAAATCTTTTAAAAATATGAATTCAGGTAACTTTGTTTGATATAAAGTTTTTGCTGTGTTTCTTTTTTATAGTAAGCTTTTCATGTCTTTGGCTTAGTATTTGTTACTCTTTTTCTGCATTTTGATAATGCTGAAAAACACAGGACTTAAAAAGAAAATGACATTGTGAATCTAGTTTCAATAGCCCTAAATTTAAGGGATTTTGGCAACAATGTGGAAAAGTCTGCACAGTACTAAAGATGGCAATTCCTTCCCCACTTAAGTAACAGTGTGCTAGTCCAGTGAAGAAATACAATACTTTCAAAGGTTTTAAATAGACAATATTATTCATTTCAGTAAGTACGAATTGATTTAAAGTGTTAATTGATATTAATAACCTGAAATACACATTTTCTCAGAATGGCATGAGTGACCCATCCATTCCATGTTTTTGTCAAAATAGACTGACATTATGCATTTGCAGAAAAAAGCATGGATTAGCACATAAGCAAGCAAGCTTGTTTTCCCATTGCATGGTCATGCTGAGTGAGTTACAAGCACAGATTACTGTCAGGCTTCCATGCTCACTTCCAGGGGAATAAGCCCCACTAGTCTGACACCTGAGTAAGTGCGCAAGAAAGAATTGTGTGGTTCAGTATCTAAACCAAAAGAGAATTGTAAACACTTGACCAAAATAGCAATAGCGCTTAGACTTATATACTGCTTCATGGTGCTTTCCAGCCCTCTCTAAGTGGTTTAGAGAGTCAGCCTATTAGCACCAAAATTCTGAGTCCTCATTTTACCAACTTCAGAAGGATGGAAGGCTGAGTCAACCTTGAGCCTAGTGAGACTCGAACTGCCAAACTGCTGACTGCTGGCAGCTGGCAGTGAAAGACATAGTGATGTAGTCTAGTAATCAGATCGGCAGACTGCAATATTGATCCTGTGGATATCCATGCCATTTCCAAAGCCCCATTAAGGGTGGATGTGGATATGTGATATCTCCACTTCCTGTTTTGGGAAGATTATTGCCTGTGGTCCAAGTAGGTTCATCCAATTTCTTCAATTTCCCTCTTGTGTTTCGGATCCCATGTCCCATTCCCAGCCATTCTAGGGAATCTGTTCATGGGTGTAGAAACCTGAAGAGGATGAGAGCCTAGTTCTACTTTTAAATTCAAGCCTAGGCTTTCTAGAAAATCTTTATAGCGATATTGTGAGACAGGCCTTGAAAGGTAGGTCGATATTTTCACCACAAACATTACATATCCAACATATATCCAACATACTGGAGGTTAAGTATAATAAGTACTTAAGGTCGACTTCTTTCTTAGCATCTTCTGGTAGATATACTAGACTAGATGATGCTACCTAGTTTGGTAATGAACATCTGCAAGAAAAGAACTAAATCATAGAGCACTAAAGGACCCCAGACACAGCGGTTAGCAAACAAAATCAACTACTTATTGTACTCAGGGGGGAAAAAACCTGTCCCATATTAAACCATATGTTGTAAATGTAGAATGTAAATTGATTCCTATATTATTTAACTCTGCCCTTTCATTGTTGCCTGTTCATGTCCTAACTTTTTAAGTTGCAGGTCTATTAAGTCTTCATCTCTTTCTTAGACAAGAAGAAAATATATAACTCACTGTTGCTCCCTCTAACAACAGCAGACAGAGGACACGCATTTCATCAGGTACAAAGTGCTGCAAACCTTTCAAATGTTACATGGAAACCAGGAAAAGAATTACTTTTTGCACTTTTCCACAATGTGCAAACAGACATGGATCCCCCCCCCCAATTAAAAAGTATCGCATTGGAACAAGTTGCCATTCATGCAGGACTGTAGTCATGCTGTACTCCTATCCGGTTTTAACCATAGCCAAAAGAAACAGAACATCAATCTTTATATAATGCTTTTTTCAATGAAAACTTAACATAGCCAACTTTTTGATAGTAATTTTCAGTGGTAGATAACTATTTAGGCTACAAACTCCTCTAACGCTTGACATGTTCTGTGCATGGCACATTCAATCTTTTCTGAAGCTTCAGAATCCCAGATACTTTCAGAATTCATGGAAACAAGGATCTTTAAAACAAAAAACAAAACAGTAATATATACTAACTAATCAGGAACCAAGTGAAAGCAGGAAAAACATTTTTTGTTTGTGTGGATGTGTGTACATTTTTTAAATATTCGGTTTTCTCAGAGATTAAGTTACTTTTTAAGTTAATTTATTCACCATGTATTTTGGGAATCTTTTAGACTTGTGAGAAAAAATAGTATAAATTGGTTCAGCCTCTGCAATAAAATTAGTTTTAACTTTCTTACATATGTATATTAAAATTAATTTGAACACATTCTTGAGAAAGAATCTTGACACTTTAAACAAAAAAAATCATGTCACAATTCTGTCCCCCCCCCAATAAAAATAAAGGCTAGACAAACTAAATTAATATATTGAAAACATTTCTAGAATGTAGCAATTAAATTGGATAATTTAGAAATTAATTCCATTCTCAACCACAAATGATCATGATGTTTTACAATTAAGAGGAAGCTAGCTTACCATTCAAGTTTTTTTTCACTACAAATGTGTAGAAACTTCACATTTCGAGGTAATATATCTGAACATCAAATGCTGGAAACAGAATGGAAACACTCTTGTCTTATTTCTTGTTTTTCAAAAATGTGCAGGTAGTCTTTGACTTATAACTACAACTGAGTGCTAAATTTCTGCTGCTAAGCAAGACAGCTGTTAAGTGAATTTTGCCCAATTTTTACGACCTTTTCTGCCACAATTGTTAAGTCAATCACTGCCGTTGTTAAGATAGTAACACAGTTGTTAAGTGAATCTAGTTTCCGATTGACTTTGCTTGCCAGAAGGTTACAAATAGTGATCACATGACCCCAGGACACTGCAACCCTCATAAATACAGGCCAGTTCTCAAATGACTGAATTTTGATCACATGACCATGGGGATGCTGCAGTAATCATGAGTGTGAAAAATGGTCATACATCAGTTTTCTCATTGCCATTGTAACTTTGGGCACTAAGTGAATGGTTGTAAGTCAAGGACTGCCTGTATGTTGGATTAGAAAGACTCTTGATCTCAAGCAACAAGATTCCTGTTCATGCTCATCCTACCTTCTGGATACTTTGATTTTGTCACATCTACGTCAGTGCAACTATTTTCAAAAGAGCTAATGAAATGTAGTAGAAATTCTTACATACCTGCAGTAGAAATTGGGTGTATAATGAAAGAAAGTGAGAACATGTTATGAATCAAGATAGGGGCCCATCTAGGAATTTTCAGTTACTTCTACTTATGGGATTTTGTATCATATTTTGTAATAATATGAAGAGATAATATATTGGCAAATACTTCTGTATCAATATGAGAATTAGCTAAATTGTATTTATCAGTCCTTTAGTCAGCATTTCACTGTCATTCATTCAAAGATAATGAAACTGAATAGACTGTTCAATTTTCAGTGTGCCAAACAGCAGCCTTCTGATCCTACATTGCAAGTTTTCTGCTAGTTTCTTTTTTATTTCAATATGCAAAAAGACTGTAGGCAGAGTAAAATATGCTGCTTGGTGGACCAACACTTGTGTTATGATTCATTCATTGTGATGGGCAGAGAAAGGGTACAAATCATCTCACTGAAGATGAATTCGGTTTGAGATGAGTCTGAAGAAAAGAAATGGTGGATAAAACTCCTTGTGTGCAAGAAATATTTGTTGGCAACTTTCTTTAATGTTCACACTTTTGTGACCTTAAGGTTAATGAGATTGTCAACATGATTTCCAACAAATCCACATATCAAAGCAGGAACCCCATGTTTTCGATGCTGCTTATTACTGCTCTTAGGTCTTCATGTTGCTTTAAAGGTTACAACTAATTCAGAATTCTTTTTTTAAGCAAAATGATTAATTGCTTTCAGTTTATTTGTGCACCTCTGGCTTTTTTCCCCCAGGTAATATGAGAAATGCTTCCTTTCTACTCCTGGCCATGAGTTTAAGGATAACTTGCTGACTATACCCACATGCTAAGTTTATGTGAAAGGCCAAATCATAACAAGGCTGAACTGGAGAAAAAACAAGGTCTCGATATACTTCAAATGATTGTGACCAATGCTTCTGGTAAGCCAGCTCCTTTTATTTGCAGAGTAGAATGCGGCTACATTTGCAATGCCTTTCTCAGACAGAATTTTAGCATCTCTTTCAAAGCCATGAAAGCACTTTGAATATGAATTGGATTCTTCTTATTACTAATTAAATATTTTTGATGCTGTATTACAATCAGGCTTCGCAGCTCTGCAGTTCATGCATGCCCAAGTAAGGCCATTTCCTTACTATCAAATTGTAATGTAGAAATATAACTTTATTATTTTGCTGGGATTGAGGTTTTTTAACCATTCCTGCTTGAGTAGAAAGTTCAGGGCTTTTTTTCTGCCCCCAAATAAAATTACAGCAGTATGCACTGCAAGAGTAGTTAAATTTGTGTATTTAAAAACAGTTGCTTGCTTCTGTAACTGCAACTGCAGAAAGAACTAATTCAATTCAGCTATATTTTTAGACTTTCAGTGTGAGATGGCAAAATGTGAGATCTGCCAAGGACAACCTCTTAAAGAGATCATCTTTAGATTTATAGCAAGGGAACCTAGGGAAGCATTCTTGGACAATAGCCTTCTGGCCTGTCATGGGACTACTCTCCCTTTGGAACCTTTCTATAGCCAGTCAACTCAGCTTTAAGATCTGTGGACTTCAACTCCCAGAATTCCTCAGCCAACATGGCTGGCTGAAGAATTCTGATGCTAAATCTTAAAGTTGCTAACATTATAGTTACTGAAGTTGAGGAAAACTGCAATAGCCCATTTCTTTTCGAAATGTGTCAAGATCTTCCTGATCTATCTGCCCTTGGAAAGCTCTGCTTCAGCTAATAGAGAAATGGGCCAAAATTTGCATGTAGTCAAATTTTACTTTACAATGTAAAATCTTGTGTATTTTAAAATTTCTCTAATGTAAGTCTTATATAATTATGGGTAGTTCTCTAAAATGGAAATAAATAGACACTTAAAGACACTAACCCTCAATTAGGCTTTGCCCAACATTTACTTCTAAAAGGTCATAACTTTAGAATGAGATATATATTTCAGTAATAGAAACTCCCTACTTGGAAAAAAGAAGACTTCAAGTTTAATGTTGGCATCTGCCTCTGTTCAAGGTTTATGCAACTGATTTATAATAATATATTGACTGCATTAAAATTATGGGAAACATGTCATGCTACTAATCTTTTTGATATGCTGAAATAGCATAATTCCTCCATCTGGTTCATTTCCCACTACATCTTTTTTTCTCTTGTTCAACACGTATACTCAAAGTTTAAGGGATCATATTTTAATGTTATTGTATTGATTTTTGTATTGATTTTAATACACATCTTTCCATAGCTATTTTCTCTCTAAACTTGGAATATTTCGTAGTTATAGATGGAAGTTAATATTGGTAACAAAACTAGTCAATCATGATCAAGCCATCAAATGTGATTTGAATTAATGAAAAAATGTATGTGGAGCTTATTTGCTGATTCCATCTTCTAAAATGTTGCTCATTTTGATGCCCAAGGTATCACTGTAAGCATATGTATGAAATATTTCAGTTCTAATTCTAGATATCCTACCTATCATTTGACTGCATGAATTGCTTTTAAAATGTATCTGATGATGGGGGAATGAGCTTGAACTGTGGAATTTCTCCTTCATAGCTGAAACTTTTAGCAACACATTTTTTTTCAAGCACAAAAATGTTTATTTTTTTTTCCTTTTCTTGAATATATACATTCTCTTGGTAGTGAGAGGTTATACCACTGACCATCATATACAAGGGGCTGAAACAGGCTGTACAACAGGCAGTCGTGGCAAATGGGAATTTTCAGTGCAAGCGAAAGGGGGAAGACAGTGAGAAGACATTTTTGGTGTTTATGCTCATAAAGCATACATACATGAATCTAAAATAAAGTCTCAAACAATGTAAAGATACATGTTACAGAGAACAGAAATCTCTTACTGTAGATGTATTCTCCCCAGGCAGAAGACTGCGTCAATTTCTACAAAATTCAATTCTAACAGAATTGACGGCATCATATTCAATGGTACCAACAAAATATTGCAGACAGTTCTCGAATGCTCAAAGTACAGTAGACTCATACAAATAACAGATGGGCAGCGCCAAACAGCTCCACCCCTTCAGCAAGCAGTTTAAAAATACTGCTGCCATATTGAGAGTGGCAAAGTGCAAGCAGTGTGCCTTCAGCTCTAGTACTGTGATTCTGTTTAAGTGTGCCATTATATTTGTAGATGGGATTCTTTGCTCCTTTTTCTACCCAAAGGAACAAAGGCTTGCCAACCTGCAAATAAATAGTGAGTGGCTCTCGTGTGCCTTTGGACTGACAGGTGAAGATACAAATTCTACATACGGTATAACATAAAGCGGATGTAAGAAGGAAGGAAGCACAAGTCAAAAGCCAATTCCATTTCACGGAGAATACTCTTAAGCATTTGGTGGACAGGCAGATCACATGCAAGGAGACTTCTGTACTTACAAAGATCTTACAATAACTTTGGACTGTTGTCCTAATGTCAAGAATTATGGTTAAGCGTATTTCACACATGAAACATGCAAGATTTGTAATGTAACTGAATTAGATTGTTTGTTCAGAAGATGGCAAAAAGTGTTACAATTGGATATCAGAAGGGGGAGGACATCTGCCTGCCAAATTTGCTGTTTGAAATAAAAAGAGAGGTTGTCACTTGCAACTACTTTTCCAGAAAGACCACATAACAATTATTTTCCCCTCAAACACAGAGATACAACTTACATTCAGACTGCTTCAGTAACAACAAAGCGATTCATTTCATTACGCTTTACTCAAAGGGCTGGAGTCCCAGTCAGAGAGGGAGTTAAAGATTTAAATTACCAAACATGTCACTTAACTGCTGGTTAAACTAAAAGCATTTAACAGGAGAAAATGAAACTGGTCAAGAATTTCAGATGTAAACTGTCACCATTAAATGTATATCTTTGTATTTTTGCAAATAAAAAAAGTTAAGCTTTCCGAAGCAGCTTGTAAATAAAGTACACCTTTCAGTTATTGTTGTGATTATTTTAACCTTCCCAGTTTGAACTGAAAAGCTTGAATTCAAGGCACTATATTCCTATAAGATCAGTACTGTTCTCCTACCCATCCATTCAAGTACGTTAAGTGTTGAACGTAGCTGTTTCAAACACCAGAGAAGAAACTCAACCATCTTCGGCAACGAAGGAGAAAGAAGGATTGCCGAAGAGCACACAGATTGATGGGAAAGCATTCCACCGGGCTGGCCTGAGGGGGCATGGCTAATGAACTAGTGAGCCTGAATGGGGCCAGCAGGGAGAAACAGATTGCCTAGGAGCTAAGCATTGGACGGTTGCCACTTGGAAGTCAGCTACTGAGGTCATTCCAAATTAGGGCCTCTGCAGGGGCACTGGAAACAACTGGAAGCTATTGGGGCCAAGAGCTGGAAACTGTGCAATGCTCTGGCCTCCTCTTATCCCCGGCTGAGTGGTTGGGCCCGACCAGGGCACTCCAAAGAAGGTCGTAGGGAGAACTCCTCCATACTGACCAAGAGGCATCACATAAGGTTTGACTGGGCCAGTTAGGAGAGTACCTGGCATAGGCACTGGCTGGGATGGTGGAACTCCAGAAGTTAATGCAGCTGACAGTGGACAAGTCACTGGAACAACACACTTTTTCCCCATTCCTGTTCTTGCTGCATTAATCTATAAAAGCAAACATAAGAAAGTGTAGCTGTAATTCTTGTTTCTTTTTTTACAGAGCAGTTCATAGAAATTATCATTGTCAACCCATCTCTTTCACCCTGTTTGGAGAGTACATGCTGGATATGCTCCCTCATGTGGCTAAAATGGCCAATGCGGGAGTGAACACCCAGCTCCTTCTCACAGTGAGGCTCTAACCCTTCTCATGTTACCGATATAAACACCAAGGGACTTCTAGCTGAATACAATGCATTTCTAACCACAGCAGGATTCCCCCCCACCACCAAATAATCATTATTCCTCCCTGCAGGAACTATAACAAATCAATGTGACAAATCACTGATTTCCTTAAAGCAACATCAACTATGGCTATTTCTCCAGCAGTAGCTGATATTAGCTGGAGAACGTTTTGGCTATGCACATTTTAAAGAGCCGATGACTAGATTTGGTAAAAACTAGCCATTTATAAAATATTATAAAATGGAAAGTATGTTTCCAAAGCAACCAATTGTAGTAAGCAGTTAACCCTTTCCCTGCTTCTGTTAAGTAACTCTGCAATAATTGTAAAGTCTCTCTCCTAGGTGTGTTGCTACCCCTTGAATAGACATTTCAGTAGAGACACAGAATACTTCAGTCCTTTTCATATCCAGGCACAACCAAACTAGATGAAAGAAATGTTGGATCACTGAGAGCAGCTGACATTTTGAGAACTATGAAGTTAAATATAGACTAAAGGATTGCTTGGTTCCCCCTGAATCTGGGTAACAGGTTTTAATATCATAAATGATTTACAACTTTTGGCAGTGATTCCACTAAATTAACACCTACCCCTGAACAATCTTTGTTTGAGGCAAATCCCAGGGTCTGTAAATATAAAATCAGATGGATAATTACACCCAGGGACTGACCATTCTTAAAACAGAAACGGTACACAAGGATACAGATGAAAAACAAAACATGTAAAGGTGTCTTCATTCTTGTCATATTTCTTAGAAGTACAGGTAGTCCTCAACTTAAAACCACAATGGAGTCCAAAATTTCCATTGCTAAACAAAGCAGTTGTTTGCAGTTGCTAAGTGAATCACTGAAGTTAAGTGAATTGTACAGTTTTTAAGTGAATCCAGCTGTCCCCATTGACTTTGCTTGTTGGAAGCTGGCTGGGAAGGTTATAAATGGTGTTCACATGACCCCAGGGACAGTGCAACTATCATAAATATATGTCAGTTGCCAAGTGCCCGAATTTTGATCACTTGACCATGGAGATGCTGCAATGGTTGTAAATGGGAAAAACAGTGATGAATCACTTTTTTTCAGTGCTGTTGTAACTTTGAATTGTCACTAAACAAATGGTTGTAAGTCAAGTAGGATCGACTTGTAGGACAGCATAACCTGTAGATCCTACCATATTCTGTAGAATTATTCTCAGGCTAGCAGCCGTTTAACTTAGTTGATTCCTAGATCAGACTGACAAGTCAGTGCACAATTCAAATTCCTGTGCAAAATTAGTGTTGTGAAATACTAACCTGGAAACATTATTTATTGGTGTCTTCCTTCTAAAATACTGCATGTTTTTTATACTGTGAATAAAGAGAAATTTCTCAAGAAAAGAATGGGTCCTATTGTTGCTAAGAAAGAAAAAAACAGTTCTAATATAACTGTCTCAACCCAAGATATGAAGTATTGCAAGCAGAACAAAGATAAATGATTTATAGCTCCATGATCAATTTTTGCTTTTTTGAGAAGTCTCCACTATCCAGATAGAGGTTTTAGAAAAGAAAATCTGAATGTTTCTGACTAACATTAAGTTGAAGAAGTAAATTAAATCTGCAAAATCATGTGCTGTTTCTCTTTCTCAGTTCTTTAATAAAGGGAAATGCCAACAATTCTTATCTGAGGAATATTCATAATTGAATACTCAATATTGCAGAATTACGCCGTGTATGAAAACTACATCCTTGTGTTTTCAGCAAAGTATAAAACATGGGTCCCACAGAAATGAAGATGAGTCAGAACTTCTGAAAATAATTGCTATTTCACCAGATTTGCTATTGTGGCCTTGTAACATATTTGGAAAAGCTGTTTAATGACAGATAAAGTTGTTTTGCAGAATGGGTTTGGCTCATGATACTTCACTGAGGCAGACGGGCCTGTCCTTTCTATGAGTTTCTATGAGTCTTTCTCCAACCTCGGTGCCCATTAGATATATAAACTTCAACTATTTACATTAGCTTAAAACTCTAGCAGTCTCGGCTTAGTTAATTAGCCTCAATCTGTAAAAAAAAAAAATCATTTCAAAAGAGCTTATTTCTATACAGGTAAGTTCTCTCTTAACAACAGTAATTGGGTCTGGAATTTCCATCACTAAGCAACAGTTATAAAGCTTTTCATGTGACAAGTTGCCTAGCAATGAAAATTCTGGCAGTTACAATTTCCACAATGCCATGAGTTTGACGTCATGTGGTTGCCATTTGCAATTTTCTGCCAGTTTCCCCATTAACTTTTGCTTGTAGGAAGCTGGCAAAGAAAGTTGCAAATCGCAAGCACATGATCATGGAGATACTGTGATTGACATAGTATCTGAACAAGTGGTTATTAAGCTAAGACCCCCATGTATAAATACTTTCATAAATGTGAAGTAAGATGTGACTGTGATTATCCATCATGTTTTTCTGACATTTGTGGTGATTTGTGGTTATTGTATATGAACATTATATGAAACCTCATTAGATTTTTCAGAATGTCTTTGTTGATTGATTTGCAAAGAATTATTCCAGAAAATTCAGAGCTAAGCAAAAATATAACTGATCTATGATACTGGGGGTGGGGGGATAGGGGAGTACTCCAGGATAAGATTGAAAGATTTGTTGCTTCAAGCTTCATTCTTTATGACATCACCCATTAGGACACTCAATCATATATTTTTATAACAGTACACTGTAGGTGGCTCTTCACTGGAGTCTACTATCCATGGAACAGAAAATTGTGTTTTGATTATTTTCAGCCATTATTCCTCATTTGCAATGGTTTTTTTTTTTTTTTTTAGATTTTATTTAGCATTTATAGGCCGCCCTTTTCCCTGAGGGGACTGCGGGGTTGGGCCACTACCCATGCTGATTTGATCGATTCTCCATTTTAAGAACACATTACATCATAGGAGGAAGGGAAAATACTGTTTTCCCATTTTCACTTATGGCTTTTAAATGCAGATTAATGGCAATTAAATTCCACCAACATTTCCAATTCTGGTAAAGCAGCTGAATAAATGAGCAAGCCACATGAAATACAATTGTACAATATCTATGATTAATATCCACAAGAATAGAATTATTAAACATAAGAGTCTTCATCAGATACAGAGAATGAAAAAGAGAAACTCTGAAAGATAAAATATTACAGACTAAATTATATAGTGGCTAAGCAGTATTAGCCAAATCAGTGAAAGATCTGGATTTTAAAAAAAGATAATGAAAAAATGCTCAAAAGCTCTTGAGAGCTTTTGGAAGGAAGGCCTAGGTAACAGAAGTCTGAGGAAATGGAAGAGATAAAAAAGAAAGCCAGAAACTTAAAAAGGCATGAGAGAGAAGGAAAGCTCAAGATATTTAACTGGATTGCAAAGGAAGAAGGTTCGAAGGCTTAGAAAAATAAAACACAGCTACCTGAATAGATGAAAGAAAGAAAGCTTTCATATTTATTGGCATAGGGTCTCAAGAATTGGAGCTGGGGGGGAAGGCAGCCTTGGAAGGGTATAAACTCCTCCAGGGCACGTGTTTTGATAGAGGTTGGATGGCCAGCTGTTCAGGATGCCAAAGGAGTTGATTATTGTATTGGGAGGAGGTTGGAAGAAATGTCCTCCAAGATCCCTTCCAATTCTTCTGTGTTCAATTTGGGTTAACTTTAATTGGATTTTTCACCATTTCCCCAACATTTGCGCTATTTTTATTTTGCTTTTTATCGTTGCCTCCTTGAGTTAGAAAGCCAGGTATGAAAAATAAAAATTAAAGAATTAAGGCCTTTATATTGTCCTGAGTTTTAATTTTTGAATCTTTATGCCTAAAGATCTTGGTAGCCAGATTTTATATGAACCATGATTCTTCTTTCAGATACAGGAAGACAATGCTATAAAAATGCTGGAATTTCCATATGTAGGAACTTAATTTTTCAAACTACTTATGCCTGAGTTAAGGCATCTAGAATTGTGCTACCAATTGTGTTCACATTTTGTAGAAATCAATTGACCATAAATATTCTTAATTATTTCTGGTTTACAGTCTGTAATCACTGTCAGTGGTCAGGGCCTGAGGTTTGCAAAGGTGTTGAATATGGACTTCTGTATTTATATATGTATCTATAGTATCTATATAACGTAACAATCTCTGATCTATGAATTTTATAGTTCTTTTTTCATATGGTTAATGTGCACACTTCTACATCACAGTGCTCCAATATTCGTGACTGATGCAAATATCATTTTGTGAATGGAATATTAATCTGTATGTGAGACAACCAGTTATGTTTGAAGAATGTGGCCTTTTAGCATTCATAAAGGAAAACTTATCTTGAACTGCTTGCTTTGTTTTGCTCATTCTCAACACTATGCTCCCATTCAAAATGCTACTCAAATATTATGCTACTCTTAATATTAAGATATTAAGATAATACAGGTAATCCCACTTACTGACCATGTGTTCATCAAAGTTAAGATAGCAATGAACAAAGAAATTTATGATTGCTCCTCAAGGTTGTGGGCATTGCGGCATCCCATTGCAATTCAGGTACTGATCAACCGGCACACATGTATGACACAGTGGTGGTTTCCTACCAGTTCGGACTGGCTTGGCCGAACCTGTAGTGGTTTGGTGGCCTGGGTCGCTGGAACCGGCAGCGACCCAGACCTGCCAGGCCTCCGAAAAGGTTCTCCCAGTGACAGGGTCATCTTATTTTTGGCTTTTGGGCATGCACAGAAGCATTTTTTTATAGTAGTGTGCATGCGCGTGCGCTGCACAACCACAAGCAAACTGGCAGTAATGGCTGCCGGAACCCACCCCTCATGTGACAATTGCAATGACTCGTGATCATGATTGCCATTTGCAATCTTCACAGCTGGCTTCCAACATGCAAAATCAATAAGGAAACCAACAGGAAGTCACAAGTCGTGGTCATGTGACATTGCTCTTAATGACTTGATTCACTTAATGACTGTCATCAGAATTGATATTGTAAACCTGTCTGGTCATGTGACTTCTCACTTTACGACCTCATCATTTAGCAATGGAGTTGCTGGTGCTGTGGTTCTTATGTGTGGACTACAGGTACCTGTAAATCCAAACCACTGAATTGCTAAAGCCTGTTATTTTACTGTGTTTATTTTTTCCCCTCCATATTTCAGTCACATGGAAGCCTGTATGTTACTCGACTAGCTATACCCATGCTTGTGTGTGCGTGCACACACATTCATCCTAGGTAGTTATATTTTGTTTACATTTATCCATCAATCAAGGAAATTGCCTCCAGCAGCTCAAAATGCTATTTTCTTACTTTTTGTTTCAATAGGTATTACTTATCAGGTTAAGTGAAATTAGTGAAAGGTCCCCCATATGATTAACTCATGAGCTAGTATGAGTTACATTCTACAAATATTCCATTAGATGCCAAGAATAGTGAATTATAGTAGCCCCCTTTGTGCATGACTGATGTAAAAAAAAACAACCTCTTGTTAGCTGATGCTCATGCTTTTCAGCCAGGTTGAGAAATTATGTCCTTTATTGTAGGAGTTCCTAGTGCAAAAGAAGCAAAGAAAAGTAAACTCTGTTTAGGCACAGGTTCGGGGAGAGGGGAGGAAGTGTGGGCTATACTGCTTATACTGCTTTGGATATCAAATAAAACAGGACAAAAGAATTCTTGTAAGATTTTATGAAACTGATCCAAGAGTCACCGGCTTTTTCAAGTAAAATATACAAAGTTTTTTTTTTCCTTAGAGAAAAGGATGATTCTAAAAGGAACAGAGCCATTTGTTGAATAAAAATAACATGTAGTATTTATAGTGTATGATAAGGAAAATAATAATACATTTGCATTGAAACAGCATGCAGTCAACTTTCATGATTAGATTTGCTTGCACAGCAATTATGTATACATATATATTGTAAGAATGTACAAAACCCAGTAATAAAAATTCAGTCTTCCTCCGGTACAGTACTTTTCAGCTTTTTCCTTTTCTTAGATCTAACTAGAATACACAGACATTCTTTGGAAATGCTTGGCACCACTTTATCAAAATCCTGACTGTATCAGGGGAGTAAAGGTGAGGGATGGTACAATTGCAACTATGGTTGCTGAAGTGTTACTCTCGGTTGGGCCCAGGCTTGGGAACCGCAAGCCTACTTCGTTCATTTAATTAGTTGACTGACAAGGGAATAAAAACAATCATATAGAAAACTCTCTCTGAGTGGGTTTCACATCTTTAAGAACCTTTGTGTTATTATATTAGTGTTTTTGTACTGACTAATCTCCCAGACGTGAATATATTGGTGCTTTAGAGCTGTAACAAAACAATAATGTCATCATATGTACTTTTTGTTTCCGAAATGAAAGCTTTATAGTGTTCAAAAAGAGCATCACCCATATGCCTATAACCATTTGCAGTAAACATAGAAAATATATGTATGTATGTATGTATGTATGTATGATTGTATGTATGTATGTATGTATGATTGTATGTATGTATGTATGTATGA